TTTTATAGAAGAGGGGGCAAACGAGCATGCGGCTCACCTGATGTTAAGTGACTACCGCCGCCCATGATCAACCGCAACACCAGAGGAATTGCAGGTGCGTTGCCGGCCCTTTAGAAAGGAGTAAGCTATTTTTTTGAAGGTGGAAGAAGTGGATGGCCATTTTTTATAATAGCGAAAATACACCTACATCTATTCTCAATTTTTTAAATTGAATCAATATTATATATACAACGTTCCATCTGGCGTTGTAGGAGGCACTTGACGCAGATGACTAGAGATAGAATGGCCAACCGCCTCGATTCCAGTGTTTTTTTAAAGACGAGCTTCCGGTTTTGCTATATTGACTACGCGCATATCAAGCACAGCAGCATTAAGCTGCTATTATACGCTGGTATTCTGTGAGAGCGCGGTCCTTCTCCGGACGAGTTGGGATTCCAGTGAAAGATGCTTCCGGTTTTGCTATATTGACCATATGAAGCACAGCAGCATTAAGCTGCTATTATACTCTGGTATTCTGTGAGAGCGTGGTCCTTCTCCGGACGAGCTGGCCTATTCACACAACTATAATATAGCTACGGCGTTCCTCTACCACTTATAAAAATGTAGGTAGATAGCGATACAATCATCTAGTAAAACACTAATGAAATAACCTAGACTGGCGACAGGAAGTATATCATTACAAGTGCAATTGCGAGACGTCTGGTAGGTACTACGATCGTTAATTTGCGTCAATCTTGGCGATAAAAGCAAATCCCCCCTACAATGGGAGAGGACAAGTCTAGCAGTTTGTTGATTATCAAAACGATTCAATTGATCCCTTTATGAGTTTATAATTGTTCATAATATTTTTGATTCTTTAAATTTCTTCTCGTTTATATGATACTAGATTAATCTGAATAATTTTATTAATCTATACGTTTTTTTTTATAGAATAAGGGTGACAAACGAGCACACAGTCCATCTGATGGTAAGTGGATGCTGTGGCCCATAGACATCTACATTTATCCTCGATGAAGAATCAAAACGAAGATGCGTTGTTACCCTGAGGACTACGATGGAAAGCCTCGTTTCCAGTTAAAAGGGGTCTCCGTATCTCTACACTCACCATACGAAACACAGCAGTATTAAGCTGCTATTTTACACTGGTATTCTATGAGAGCGTGGTCCTCCCCCGGTCGAGTCGACCCATTCGTGCTACAACCATAATATAGCTGCAGCGTGGCTCTGCCACGTATGAAAAGAATTTGAAGTGTCTATCTATAATAAAGAAATATCTAGCTTCTGTTAAGTTTAATAACATTCAAATAGTCCACTATTTGAATGAGATTACAGAGACATATTTTTTTTAAATTTTTGTCTATTTCTGTCTGTCCGTGCTAATCTTCGGATTGGCTTAACTGATTGGCTTAACTGATTGTGATTAAACTTTACGAACGAGGGATCTAGGTTTTATTTTATCCTAAAACTTGAAGATTTAAAAGAAAGGACAAAACAAACGGTCTTTCAATCATTAATAAATCTGTACCCGGGGCGGTTCACTAGTAATACATATATCTAATATCGGAAATGTTATTATAAATTTCAATTATCTGCAAATGCCTTTAAAATATATTACCGTAACAAATAAAGCGCTATAAAATGTTACTATTATAACGTTTTCCATTATACATAAAAGTCGAGAAACTAATAAATAGCTTATTATGCAACGTTGCGTTCCCTTGCCAAATACATTTCACATTTCAGCATTAGTGTAATTTTTCAAAAGCGTGCAACACTGGAAGCGATGTGAATAGATTTCACAAGCCATTAAGCTCGTGATAAATTGTTGCACAAAATGGCGGATGTTTTTTTTTTCGGGCGGGAAAAGCTTTGTGTCCGTGGAAAAATTTCGATGGCTTTCTCCCAATAGTTGAACATTGTTAGGGGGATTCCTTTTGATAGTGTTATAAAGGGTGAAATCTTTTGTTATTATTTTTTCATAGGTTTATTGATCATAGAAACTTACCTAAAGTTATGAGTGATAATTAAAATTATAAATTACGTATTTAATATTTCAACATTAATGTAATAGTTTTGTTCTTTATATCTGTTAATATTATCTATATTAACTTATATATTAATTTATTCTTTAATATATTATTTTTGAAAGTGTGTTTGTATGTAAGATTTTTACACTAAAATACTTTAATAATAACTCTTAAAATCTGTTTTTCGTTGCGGCTTTTCGGCAGCGGCTTATGGAAAATCCCGGACGGGCTAAACTTAACCATTTACAAGCCTTAAATGGTATTGAAGTACAGCATTTCATTGCCAAATTAATGTTTTTGCTTGTATTGTTTAGATAGACAGACAAAAATCTTAAAAATGGTTATTTATGTCGAAATAGCATGCAAGGTAATCAGCTCCATGTAAGGTTGTTGTTTCTGTATTACATTGAGACTGGGGTTGCCACCCGTACTATAATAAATAATATAGTATAGTAACGTACTGTAGTTCAGTCAATTGTACTATGTATTATAGAAAAATAATATAGCACGAAAAATACGTTCATTTTATCTCTAATTCAACTTTCGCGCTTTTTTCTATAAACTGTGATTGGAAGTCTGGAACAAGCAAGTTTTACGGAAAGATTTTTTTCCGTCATGAATGTAAAATTGAGAGAAGAAATAAATGGAGCATGTATTAATTTCATTAAAAATTAATTGTTAATTTATTTTAATATGAATCTAAATTACTCAGACTGCTATAATTTTTTTTAAAAGGTCATTAATGTAATGATTTCTTATATTTACGCGAACACTATACATGATTAAAACTACTTTTACGGATTTTATCGCGTTTATTTTTACTTTTTTTTTTAAATATAATATAATAAAATCCGTAAAAGTAGTTTTAATCAGGTCATTAATGGCCAAAGCAAAGAGCAATAACGAATATACATGAAGACATAAAGATTAAAAATAAATGTGTACTTTTTAACTTCCTGCTAAGAAAATTGAAAGTTTTCAAAAATCGGGAAGTTATTGTTTTACCTGTTTTTCGAAAATTGAGTTTTCCTCAAATTTTAACATTTTGAGGCCACAGGAAGCCGCCCTGACAATTTTTAGATGGTGTATGTATGTGTGTGTGGATCTCTTATAACTTTTAAACAGCTTGACCGATTAAAATTACCTAAGCGTATTTCCAAAGCGTTTCATCAAACTTAGATTTCCTATAAATTTAAACTAATTCAGACCGGTAGATTTTGAGAAAAATAAAAATTTAGAAAAACTGTTCTTTTAGATTAACTTTTAAATGGCTTTAGCGATAAATTCCAAAAACTAATCAGCTTTTAATCTTGATGAACCACGTCGATCGCTGCCAGTCCGGTCATAATTGGTGAATTCGTTTGTGAGATATCGGTAACGAAAATTTAAAAAAAAATTGATTTTTTTTAAATAGTGCGTGGGCTACTGTGTTCCTGTCTGAAGGGTATAGAGACAGTATAGCTACAGTCTGTGAAATATTCCATCTTAGTCCTCAGAGGTGACAATGCATCTGTGGTTATCTTGATTTGTTGTTTAGCCCAAGTAACATCTTATTTACGTGGTAGAGCCACGCTGCAGCTATATTATGGTTGTAGCACGAATAGCTCGCCTTGACCAGGGAAGGACCACGCTCTCACAGAATGCCAGCGTAAATTAGCAGTGTAAAAAAAACCTTTTTTATTGGAAACGAGTAATTCCATCTTAGTTCTCAGGGGTGAAAATGCATCTGCGTTTTGATTATTAATTGAGGATAGATGTAGATGTCTATGGGTTACAGCATCCACTTACCATCAGGTGGACTGTGTGCTCGTTTGTCACACTTATTATATTAAAAAAATCATCATCAGGTTGATAGAGTTAGTTTGTCACTTTAATTTTATAAAATATTAAATCTGTGGCGGCGCTGTCATCGCGCCACAAGCAAAACACATCGGAGTCTAAATCGCGCTATCAAAGTTCCGAATTAAAACAGTATATAACAAAATAGCTCCGAACAATCACACGGAGCGTTGGCCGCTCCCCGGGCTGAACACCTTGCCGGCTGTTATGACCTATCGCAATTAAAACATGCTTTATTTTATCATCATCAGTCTGACGTTTGACCGACATCTCACCTAATGTTAATGATATTAAAGTCCTAGATGGTGAACATGTATGTTAGCCAAGATAAGAGTCAACAATTGTAGTTGCCTCAGTATTTTGAATCACGTTAAGAGTTTGGTTCCTCTAATTGCGCACCAGATATAATGGCAAAACGCTTTGTCTTCAAAGCTTATCAATCAACAACGTGAAGATAATATCCAACCATCGAGTCGTTCGATGACGAAATAGATTTTAAGAAAATGTAGAAGTGCGTACGTAGAGTTTTCTATTAAAAGTATCAATACTAAAGTGGGTGTGTGTGCAATTCGGTCTGCCTACTATAAAGTCATCCAGATGGAATTTCGATCACGGTGGCCAGTCTCAACGTAGCCATCTGCATAGGACAGGATTATAGTGTTCGAATATATCCGCAAACACAGGTGCACTCTCTTTTCCCTCACTCTCACAGTCCGATGGCACCGTAATCTGACACTACCGGAAAGAGATCAGCCGAACCAACGGCTTTACGTAATTTTGAAGGTATGTGGGTGAAACAACGACAACCCCCTGACTCCGGGCATCCGGGTTATGGGTTTTTTTTTGGTTTGAATATTGAAGCGACCTCATGATCAGCAATCATCAAGGCAGTCAAACATTATCAACTACTTAACTCACACCCTACTAGGCATGAGCCTCCTCTCATTTCTGAAATTTTTTGTCAATAGTTTTATATTTAATTTAAATTCGGGATTCACGATTTTTCGATTACGCTGTGTATGCTCTACATATATTCTTCTAATTCAATTGCAAAGTTAAAAAGTAAAACAATGTTAGCCAATCTATCAAACGCATTAATGTTGTTATTTACTGGAATTTTTCTTTTGTTCTCAGGTCAAAGTATGGTTCCAAAACAGAAGAACGAAACATAAAAGAATGCAGCAGGAAGAAGAAGCGAAGACTGGCACCAAATCAAGTTCCTCCAGCAACAAACCAGAAGATGGTAGCCAGTTCAATAACTCATATGAAGAGGATGAAGAACTAATAGACATGGATATGGACGAACTAAGTGAGAGTGAAAACGAAACGTAAAAACGTTGGTGTGAAATGAAACAGAACTGATGTGTTTATTGTGTAAATATTGTTGTAATTTAGTTTTATTATAGGCAGATTATTTTTCTTATTTATTTCTACAACAATCTACGATAAAGATGTAAGTCATTCTAATCCTTATATTTGAGGGTAGTATCGTTTTTTCAATGTTAAAACTTTATTGGAACTTATTCCAAACTACATAGTTAATAATGCGTACTTAAAAACTTTTTGCACACACTTTGACTGCTTAAATTACAGTAAAATGAATACAGAACGTAAAAAGGGCTCCAATAAAAAATAATGCGCAATCACTCATACTTATCTAAATTTAAATAGCATTATAGCAGTTAGATTACTTATACTTAAATCTAACTGCTGTATTGCTATAATTTATCTCGTTTCATAGCCAGGTTATTTATTTTATTCTAAACAAGCAACCGTGTCATTAAATTAACGGAACCCATTTAAAATGGCGTCAGAACAACTCTTGTTAGCGCGTCACGAAATATTAGATAGCTAAATTGGCCCCATTATAATAGTTTGGGGATTAAATTAATTAAAAATGCCTCCTTTGATGCGTTCCTTTAGTGATGTGGGTATAATTAGACAGTTTGATTTTAAATGTTGATAGGAATGGGCTATGGTTTTCAAACGAGCGCTGTCAACGACAGAAAGAGATGGCGATATATAAAATAGCGGGATGGAGCATAGCGACGTATTTATGAAGATGGAGGCGATTGTTGCACGTCGCTTGTGGGCCTATTATTAAGAGATGCGTATAGAAATCATATCTTAAGTTAGAATCGCGTTCCGTAATTGCTCGCGACGAAATCAAATTGTTTTTAAACTGTTGACGATTGTTCTCGACGGCTATTTGTCTACTCGAGTTCGGTATTACCGATTACGATCTTTCGGTGCCTTGTTAGTTGCTTTCACGCGTTTGACATGTATTGTGAGATCGCTTTACGGAGTAATTTAACACTGTCAAAATATATGAATAGTTCTATAATTTGGAAGTGAGTTGTAGATCATTTTATTTAATAAAAAAGAGTGGTAATGCGTTTGCAAATCTATCATGCAGTCTTTGTTAAATTAGGTTTTATTACGTATTACTTTGGCTTAAGAACTGCTTTGATAGATAAAAGACAATTCAACTTCTCTTGGCGAGGCTAGTCAATTACAGTAATATAAATGTTTTATAATTTATTCAATAATATCGATAATGGTTTTTGAATAGAAGCTAGAATAGGGTGACAACTGGATGGGAGGATAAATCGATTAAGAATCAAAATTTTGCGATGTCACCACTGGACTTAGATGGAATGCCTCGTAAAAAATCTCCGGTTACCTACACTTACATTCACGATATGAAATACAGCAACATAAAGTTGCTATTTTATGTTGTTATTCTGTGAGAGCAGCCAGGTCGGCTACAATACGGGCTACAACCATAGTAATAGAGCTGCAACGTGGCTCTACCGCTACATATTTGAACTTTATATTAAACCAAACTACCAAAACCAATAAAAAGCAATTACAATTTTTAAACAATCCTTAATTACTAAGTTGGCAACACCCGCCACCCACGTGTCGCCCGAGACGGAAACGTCAACCATTGCCATTAAAAATGAATTTTTAATTAGTGGAGCGCAATAAGCAGCCATTGTGAAATTAATCGTTTAATTTAACGTCGCGGGAGCGTGGCGATCGGTCGTGTAAACGCATTAACTCGGAAGTCCCAGCGGGCATTGTTCGAATGAATTTTTGAATCGACTAATTGGTACAGAAATTTCTTGTTGTACGACCCTACATTGTGATCGATTGGTCTATTCGTTAGCGCATCTCATGAGAGTTGTAGATTGCAAGTTCAAACCACAATTGTAACTCACAGAGTACCAGCGTAAAATAGCAGCTTAATACTGCTGTGTTTCGTTTGGCGAGTGAAAAGATCAGGAGACATCATATTAGTCCTCATGAGTGACAACGCATTTGCGTTTTGATAAATGTAAATGTCCATGGGCCACAGCATCTACTTACCATCAGCTGAACTGCTCGTTTGTCACCCTTATTCTATAAAAAAAAACTTGGTTATTTTCTTTTCTTTGGTTATAGACTCGTACGGTTATACTTTTGCCGGTGTAAGAAACTGTCTTTAAAAATAATTTTTTTTTCAAAATCTTCACAATAAGCTGATTGGCGTTGCAGTTGTTCACGGGCGGCGGTCGACATTTACCATCACGTGAGCCGCATGCTCGTTTGCCCCCCTCTAAAAAACAAAGATGCGTCATATTGAGATGTTCTGAACACTGCTCAATTTTAAAATGCCGGTAAGTCTCGTACTGTCTCTTTCAATTTAGGTCAAGGTGACTGTGACACCATGAAACCTAAGGACATCTTAAAATTGAGTAGGATTTGAGTAGGTATTTGGCCATCAACATATAGTCGATGACGACAGTAGGTATCTTAAGTTCTTAAGGCGCTTGAACGGAAAAAATATCTTAAAGCTTGTATCAACATCGGAGCACTTGTTTCGTCAGCTATATCTATTATCTATACATCTATACAAATACATAAATAAAATTGAACCGTCTGTTTGTAATATCAAAATAACAGCTTTTTACTAAATGCATATAAAAGTATATAGGGTACCTACTTATAACAAACGCACAATTTTTAAAATTTTTGTCTGTCTGTCTGCCTATTTGCCTGTCTGTTTGTTCCGACTAATCTCCAAAACGGCTAGACCGATCCTGACGGGACTTTCACTGGCAAATAGCTAATGATATATGGAGTAACTTAAGCAAGGTTTACACGAAGCCAGTAACGCTGGCGCCAGTTCTCGGACAAGCCAGCGCTAGCCTGGCCCGTGTTGTTTAGACGAGGGCAAATGGATTCATTTCATTCCTAGATTATTCTTGTAAATCGTTGTATTAAATTAATTATTTTTTAAACTTTAACTTAAAATAATGTTTATCATATAGTACATACGTCAAATGTAGGAATTTGCACAATATCACTAGTAAATTTTTTATATTACAAATTATTTATTCTGGAGCTGGGGTTGTGGAGCATGCGGACTAAGGTCACTGGGTTGAAAAATAGGCAGGTGCTCTATTCCCGCCAGTGCTGACAGCTAGCGCTGGCTTGTCTTGAAAAGCTGTTTATACGAGGCCAATAACAAGACAGCACTGGCAGCCAGTGAAACTGGCAGCCAACACTGTCTGGCTTCGTCTAAACCTTGCTTTAAGCCACTTTTGTCATAGAAAAATAATTAGTGTGCGCATAAAAAATTGTCGTCACATGTTCACAGGTGCAGACACTTCATACACAAAATTGCATATTTTTATTTCAAATCCACTTGGTACTCGTACCAATATTTGAGTGATAAAACAGGCGCAACAATTCGCTGGCGGTCAGTTTCCCGCCAAAATTCACAACTTGCTTCGTCCTTACATTGACAACGTGGACTAGACTAGTCGTTGGAGTACTTACTACGTCTTGAGTTTGAATTTCAGCCAAAGCCAAAGTTTTTTTTTTTAATAAAACTGATTTGACAAATGAAATACAGTCTACCTAAAGTGGCTATTGCAGTCCATGGAGAACTTGCAGTCGACTTCAAACAAAGATGTCTTCAGATGGAAAGCCTAACAGCCTAATAACTATACCGTTCAGACTGCAAGAGGCGATTGAATGGCATTATATGTTCGTTGTTTCAAAACATTTTCTCATATAGAAATATAAAATACTAGCGCTCTGCCGCGGCTTCACACGGGTGATTTTAGATGTTAATAACACCACCTTCCGGGTCTAATTATGAATTTAAATCATCCAGGAACCCACTTAAATACACAAAAAAAAATTATCAAAATTGGTCCATCCCTTTAGGAGTTAAGTGACGAACATACTTACAGAAGAGTTACATTTATAAAGATAAACGGAATTGCGGTTTTGCCCTTAAATACAGTCGAGCACAAAAAGGTTTTGCGACATTACCCATTGCTTTAACGAAGCCTAGATTCCATTTTCAGCTCAATTAACTTCCAACTGATTACGGTTATAGATTTTCTTCATTAACTGTTTCCGATTAGCGACCATGTCGGATATTTTACGACGTATTCTTAGAGCGGAGTCGCTTTTTAATTACATACATCTTGATTGGCATTAGGTTGTTGATTATGCGACATTATTCGTTTATTGGAGTCATTCGTTTGATTAGATAGCGGTTTTAATAGAGATGGATTTGATTAGGGGGGAAAAACACAAGTTGAAGTGTTAAATTTCAATTACACCGAGTTTCAATTTCAAACGCCTTTGAATTACGATTCTGTCAAGCTAATAAATATAAACATGAAGTTTTTGAAATGTCTATTTGAATTTCAATGCTAATTTCTTATCAAAGTATCTCAATGAAAAAGTCAATAAAATTGTAATAACTTCGTAAAATATGGAATATTTTTGAAATCGAAGGAAAACACTTCACTAATTGTAAATTCTTTGTACGCATTTCCAGACTATATTTATAATATCTAATATATTGTGGTTCTCTATTAATTTAATTATTCTAAATTAAATCAAGTGTTTATAAATAAGAGTTTAAATGAGCGCTGAGTTTTAACTGTCTCGAAAAATTAAATAAATCGCTCAAATGAACGTAGATGTATTAAGTCAGTTCCTTTAGAATAAATATTGAATTTTGAATATATTAAATTATATATCAGTATGAAAGATTACACCTGATTTTATTCCTGAAATTGCTAATTAATTAGTGAAATAACGTTTTGGCAAAAGATTTTTAAGATCTTTAGCCAAAACCTTACAATTTGTAATTTTGATCATTTTATTTGTAACATTTTATCACAGAATTTCGGAAACTGATCAGCTGTTTATATACATATTATTTCAACTCAATAATTAAATACAACATGTCGATAGCTGAGTTGATAACTTGTTTAAAATGTCTTTTGTACTGTAACGTTATATTATTGAGTCTCAAATAT